AAATTTAATTCCAATTAAGCCCTTCTCTTCAGATACCAAAGATACATCGCAGCCGGACAGTTTAAAATGATAAGCTGTACTTGCCTTTACACACTCGCGGAGTGATACTAGCTAACTTCACCAGTTGCCTCTGCTTGCAGGAGTACAGCGTCCAGCTGACGTTCAGGGAGCAGTGGATAGACGAGCGACTCAAATTCAATGACTTTGGAGGTCAGTGTCAACTCTCGCTTATTCCTTCTTTCTCACACAATAACAGGGCAGGTTATCGCAGTGTTTGAGCACAGGTTTCTGGAGTAGGGTTGGTAGATACTTAGTTCGACTCTCGATAGATGCATTCTACACCAACTGATGTTTGTCGTGGTTCCTCGCATTATTTTAGGGCAAATATCGAGGCATAATTTTGTCTGTTTTATTTATTTTTGTGTCATTTAACTACTTTGTATCAGCTTCAGAGGTTTTATAACGCTGGATGAATTCAGACATCGAATATGCCCAGAATATTGGTAAATGTTGGGATAAACGACTTATTTAAATGCATTATCCCTGGAAGGACCCGAGAAAACCACGATATTTCTCAACATATCACGCGTAAAACTAAAATCAGAAGTCAATATCCCCCCAAAAATGTAAGATCCATGACTTTTTAGTAGTTCATTGAAAATGACGTCAGTTTAGAAAAGGATTATCGTGGTATCGGAGATGGATCTTAACATTCTCTTGCATTCTTCGTCAGCTGGAGAGAGGGAAGAAATTGCTGTGGTTACAGGAGTGATATTCGTGTTCTGTGTCGCAGGTAAAATCAAATACTTGACCCTGACAGACGCGGCCAGGGTCTGGATGCCAGATTTGTTCTTTGCAAATGAGAAGGAAGGCCACTTCCACAATATCATTATGCCAAACGTCTACATTCGTATCCATCCTCAAGGCTCTGTCCTGTACAGTATCCGGTGAGTCAATAAGGTCACCTGATCGACATCTTCACTCAGAGTTTTTATTTTAAACAAATCTCTTTGGAGATGCACACTAAGGAACAACCGAAGGTAAGAAATCTTAAATGATCTTATTCACGCAGTGGAAAGTGTTAACATTTTCATACTCTGCGCGAAGGCATGAGAAATATGGCCCAAGGAAAGTATTCAACGTATCTGTTGGTTATGTTGAAACAGCAAATAGCTCCATCAGCTTCTACATTTTGACACATTTTCCATTGTCTGGGGAAAATTTAATATACGTTACACTACGGAAGTTGTCTCTATATTGATTTGACTCTTATACTGATAGTCTGTATTCTATATCAGTGACCAGGATTAGTACTTATATGGTTTATAATTAAATCTCGTCATTATCACTAACATCAAAAATAAAATTCTGTTAGTATCTACTTCTTATTTTATAGCAGAGTTTGCTTTTTTCCCCTCTCTTTTTAGAGGTTTGCTTGATTTATTTAGACATTCGGTAGGACACCCTGGACGAGGGATCGGCCCGTCGCAAGGCCTCTACCTGTACACAGAACAGCGCAACACAGATGTGGACAAACATTCATCCTTCGAATGGGATTCGAACCCACGTTCCCAGTGTCCGAGCGGCACAAGGCCCACGCCTCAGACCGCGTGGCCACTTTGATGGCTAAAAGAATGTGTCAGTTTAATGACAACAGTTCAAAAGAAGCTGGAATTAGAGTCATTCTTAAGTCTTCGTGTACATTAAAAGTACCTCTGACAGTGTCCAACATAGGCAGAGTGAAATCCTCTTAATTATTTTTACCTACATTTTCTATGTTCAGTTTCAGAGTCAAATTAGTTTCATCGATAAAATGTGAAAGGCATAAATTTGATATTTATAGTCAGGGATCTGTGTGGTGTCTGCAGGATCTCCCTGACGCTGGCTTGTCCCATGAACCTGAAGCTATATCCTCTCGACCGGCAAGTCTGTTCACTAAGGATGGCCAGCTGTGAGTAACAAAATCACCTCCAAAGTAATGTCGGTGTATGAAATTTGCCCTTTTTTAAAACAGATGCTGTTGAAGGTTTAGTTAGATATCGGAGGCTTTGCGTGAATTGCAGATGGCTGGACGACTGATGATCTGGAATTTGTGTGGAAGGATGGAGACCCTGTGCAGGTGGTAAAGAATCTCCACTTACCACGGTTCACGCTAGAGAAGTTTCTCACTGACTCCTGTAATAGCAAAACTAACACAGGTTTGTGAAAATAACGTAACTCGCGAATTTAGTAAGCAGAAAACATTTATCTGTGTAGTAGGTAATTATTTGTTTGCGATGACTGTACATGATTTATTTTCATACCTACATAATTTCATGAGAACAAGTCCAGTAGTTCGTTAGTTACCGCCATAAAACCAAATATTAATTTATATTTTGTCGCGAGGCTGTCATGTTCTTTGACATTTCATAAAAGATAATAAATACCTTGACAAAAATATAATAATAATTTTTTTTTAAGTTTCATAACCTCAAAAAATGGTACTTGCAAGTCTTGCAACTCAGAAGTTTGTGCAGATGCTGTGTTGACATTGATGGGCATAAATTAAGAGTTTCAATGTAAGATTTGAGGTTTTCGCAGCGATGAGTATGAAGATTTCTGTCTTCTGGGTTGTTGCGCCGTGTAGTATGGTCGATGTTAACCAACGTTTCGGAGGTCATACTGCCTCCGTCATCAGGGCGATGACAGAAATCTTCAAGAATTTTAACATTGGGGTTGTTTCTGATTTTCAGAGTAAGTTTCATGAAAATTCTTCAATTGGTTAAGAAGTTATTAGCAAAGACCGACTTTAGTACATACACGTGAGATGATTTTGGGTGTGTTGCACAAGATGTCTGTGGGACACGTGATTATGTTGTTCTCATTGCAGGGGAATACAGCTGTCTGAAAGTGGACCTTCTCTTCAAGCGCGAGTTCAGCTACTACCTGATCCAGATATACATCCCCTGCTGTATGCTGGTCATTGTTTCGTGGGTCTCCTTCTGGCTCGATCAGAATGCCATTCCCGCACGAGTGTCCCTCGGAGTGACCACACTCCTCACCATGGCGACCCAAACCTCGGGGATCAACGCCTCACTCCCGCCTGTTTCTTACACAAAGGCTATCGACGTTTGGACCGGCGTCTGCCTCACGTTTGTATTCGGGGCACTGCTAGAGTTTGCATTAGTTAACTACGCATCAAGATCTGATATGCATCGCGAGAACATGAAGAAACAAAGACGCCAATACGAACTGGAACACGCTGCATCTTTGGAAGCGGCTGCCGACCTCCTGGAGGACGGTGCCACCACGTTTGCTATGGTGAGATGCCTGACTCCAGGTCTCGCGAGACCGATTGACTTCTGTTTTTGGTTTTCTGTACTTTAAGTAACATTTTGGTCCTACTGTTCCATCGTTGTTTCTTCTTGAACTCTTTGAAGCGGTCTGTATCTGCTCGTTGTTTGTCGTGTCTCTTCATTTGATACTCCCAGAATTTGTCGTATGTCAGTTTCTGCGCTGATGACATATCTAAAGTTCTCTTAATTAAAATCAAGTCCTAGGAGTTTTAAGTAATATTTTTGTTTATCAAAACACAGAATTCAAAGTGTAGCTTCACACTTGGACTTATTTTACTGTACACTTATTCAGGGGGACATTGGTTTGACTAACTAGAATCAGTTCGCTGTGCGGTTAATTACGAGCTTCTCGCTTTGGAGGTCCGAATTCAATCCTAGCTCTGTCCATGTTGAATCTGTGTTAAAAAAATTTTCTCGGAATACTTCAGTTTTCTCCTACTAATCAATCCATCAGTACTCCGAACACATCTATGACGCTAATCATTCAAGATTTAGAGGGACTTTGCCTCGCGCTATTTCAACTTTTAATAGTAAATATTTCGGGCCGATCCCTCGTCTATGGAGTCCTACCGAATGTCCATAGGTCGAGCCAACTGAAAAGTCGGAGGGTCATAAAGGGTACCGGAAAATGTACAAATATTGTTAAACCGGAAAAAAAAAAAGAATAGCAAATATTTTATACTTCAGAAATTATTAATTAGCTCTCAACTATTTTCATTGAGTAAACATATATACAGAGATACCTAAATATATAAATATAATATTGCGCACGATTAATTCAACGTGATAATCCGAATTTTTTAATTCTGAATTCTGATTGAATTCAGACCTTAGTTGAACTAAATGGTCCCTAGTTGACTTCATCATACTGAGTTATAGTATAATAAATAATAATACTAAATACATATAATGAAGTACTAAAAATCTTCAGCTGAAAGCGTCCTTTTGATTATGGTTCTGAAGGTGTCAGTGCCACCGTCTGCAGAGGGGGGCTCCCCCCCCCATGTTTAATAGATTACAGGCAGTTTTCACTTCATATAAATGGCTTTTACGCAATCCCATATTACACGGCTGGAAGCATAACACGTTGGCGTAAATAATTCTTCTGTTGGTCTTCATCCGTCATCTAAGAGTTCGTAGTTAAACCACGACGTTTCAAAGGTTGGTTACACTTGGTCTTCAGGTGGGACGACAAGAATCCTACACTGTTGAGTTAGTTCTTTTATTTTGTAGTGTTCTGTCTGACGACAGGTCCATATGAACAGGATCCTTCCATCCTTTTCTCGGACTGGGACCTGTTCATATACGTTCTTGGCAGATGATCCAGAAGTGGTTTGCCATTGCCTTCTTCTGTGTGAGTGTGAATGGAGTAATTGTTGGGATGCCACGGAGGAAAACTCCGTGTTGCCTAGACCACGGCCTTGCCCAACACAAGTTATAAATTCGGGCACCGCCGGGAATCGAACCCGAGAACCCCAGGATTACAAGGCCAGCGTTCTAACCGCTAGACCACCGTGGCTCAATGTTGAGTTAGGATCAACAAAGAAATTTGTTGTTTGTGAGAAATGCAGCGGAGGAAGTCGATTTCTTTGTTGTCGCTGAGTGATCGTCCTCCCTCTCGTCCTGTCACACGCCATGGCTCGGGGTAGGAACGCTCGTGCTAGAACGGCCTTCTCTTAGGGCTACTTCTTGTTCAAAATGCCTCCTTCCTCCGGCCGAGGGCACTACTGTCGACCGGGGGATGGAGGTGCAGCAAGACACCAGAGCAGCATCACCCCATTATCCCTCCTTCCCATCAGACACACAGAGGGTGGCCGAGTCCATGGGGTAAGGTGGTACACTGCGGAGTAAGGTAGGTGTCAGTCTGTTCATGTCATTCTGTCAGTGTTTCGTTTCTCCAAATCACGGCCATAGTCTTTAAGGTATTGTAGCATGAGACTTTTACGCACTCTGTGGGTGAACTGGAATATAATAATCATTAATTTTTTTTAAAATTTAATTAATTTTGTTTTTGGAATGTTCAATACAGTAATTTGTGAAACATGTTAATATCATATTAGAACATTTTCTGAACCAGCTTCATCACTATCTGAAACAAATGAATTAAATTATGTTGGTAAAATGTTATTTAGGGAAGTCATATTAGAAACCCCCTTACAAATTTCTAAATCTCCTGTAAATGTGTTTATTTCTCTGTGTACTAAAAAAAACAGCGCATGAACAGTGTATTTAAAAATTCTTAATTTATTTGGAGACGTTTTGTCACCTAATAGCAATTGTAAAGGTATACTGGAAAAATTTAAATAGAATTTATTGAAATTAGGATCCCGGATGTACCCTTTTTGTATATTTCGTCTACTTTGATAGATACTTGTAGCCTGTTCTTTATAAATCCAGTACCCTCGTGACTCTACCAGTTATTCCCGGCGTCTCTTCGTATGTTCAGTCCTTTCTGTTTCGCGGCTGAACTACCATCGAGGTTCATTTACGTAAACTGGCCAACTGTAACTCAAAACAGCCATAAAAAAACTAAGTATTTTCTCTTATGTTAGACAGGCTTTTCAAATGGTAATGCTGATGCTTAATACTGTTAAGTTCGATGATGAGAGAATTTTACGCTGAAAAATAAAATGTCGTTTATGATGAGTCAATGAATGAAGGTAATGATTCCTGTTATTTGTTTTAATTATGATTGTGAGTCCCAAGTGACTTGAGGCCACCCTGTTGTGTTCTGTAGCCTCCAACCCTACTAGAACGTCTGCTTGCCAAGCTGAGGCTAAAGGCGAAGATACGTGCGTCTGTAAGTATGTAGAAAGCTTTGTGGCCACCACAGACATCACATGCCACAATTTACTGGGTTGTAGTGACTGAATCTACCCCCGTGGCAGTCTTTGGCTCGATCAAACGGGGACCTCGGTAAATGTAGCAGGTCAGAACCTGGCACTCCTCTTTGTGTAATTTGTGTGGTAAATTTAAGCATGCGTTCACAGAACCTAGTGTGTGAGCATGTGGTGAATGTGATATTCGTTACTTGTGAAAAGTCTTTTGTTTCCCCTGAGATATTTCTGTGTATACCCATCTGATTGAAAAAAAAGTTGTCAGTGGAACCACGGTTCCGGAGAATTTGACGTAAATACGTCTATACGGAAAGGAAGTTTATATATTGACTTTATTCTAAATATTTCCTTTATACATGCTTTACAATTGAGATAAGTTTGATTAAGACATTGCTCATTTAACTTGAATTAGTTACGCTTAAAATGGGTCTGTGGTAGCTGAATGTAATGTTAAGTAATGTAAAGTAATGTCATGTAACGTTTCCTAGGTAACAATCTTACACATTTTCATGACGCTTTTTTACGGAATGACCCTTCCGTATAGACGTATTTACGTCAAAAAAGATTTTATCCTTAATCTGTAGCGTGTTCTGTGTTGCTAATTCCTCTGCTTTTAGTTGCGATTAATTCCCGGAGTGCTGCCCGAGAGTCACTTCATTTGTAAGCTTCGTTACGAACACAAAGCTGTTTTGTTATTGTCGTTCTGAGTTAATTAGTATTCGGTGTCTATGGAGGAATTTTGCATGAGTTCCCCTAGAGACTTTGATCAGCTTCAGTTGCAGTTCTGGCACAATATTCTCGAGTTCTTTGGTCACGTGTCTCAGTGACACATAGAATGTGTTGTCTGGATGTTACAGAAGCCACTGGTGCGCCGTCCAGGTGATGCCCTCACCCTGGAGAAGGTGCGCCAGTGCGAGATCCACATGCAGCCACAGAGAGACAACTGCTGTCGCACCTGGTTGGCCAAGTTTCCGACGCGCTCCAAGCGGATAGACGTCATATCTCGCATTACATTTCCACTCGTGTTTGCTCTTTTCAATCTGGTCTACTGGTCCACATACTTGTTCCGAGAGGAGGCTGAGGAAAACTAAGCATCCGGTAAAAAGTGATGGTCCTCTCTTATCCACCGGATTCGCTCACCGAACAAAATTGCCGTTGCTGACGGTACTTAAATTCAGACACGTAATGAAGAAAGTGGTTTTGACTTTCATTAACAGTTCTTACATGATACTTATGGTTCAACGGGGTTTAATGGGCCTTTTTACATGGTAGACAAGATAATGAAATGAACTCCGCGATTATATAATTAGCTGTGAAATTGTGTTTCACAATGAAAAAATCAAATGAAAATTAGATATCTGCTAAAAAAAAAAAGGATTAGATATTGTTAATATGACTGTGAAATTAATTAAAATCAATCACTGACAATCTGCTTTAGTAAAGTTCTTCGATATAGTTGCTTCAGTGGGACGTACTATTTGAATGTAGTGGTGTTTAATCGCACAGTACAATAGAGCTATTACTTTTACAATGGAGCAGAGACAAGAAGTTTGTTTCATTGCTGAATTTGAATGAAAAACTTCCTTCACAGTCATTGTACTTACATAATGACTACACAACGAAGATAACATGGAAAGCACGGGCACGCTATATCAGTAACGCCAACCACCAGTCAAGTTTTTCATCTTCAAGAACTCTTATTTAGTAGATGATGTTGGTATCACTGCTTTTAACAGCTGATTTATAATTGATTTTCATGAGAACTCAGGAATAGGTACCATATGGGAAGGGAGTATGATTTGTTTTGCGGCAGAGTACCACTTACAGAACTAGGTAGACATTCGGTGAACAGAAAATGCCAGAGAAATAACCAACTCACAAAGGTAATATTACGGTGGATGGTAAATATTTCATTACGAGGTGTATCACAGTAAGTAATGATAGTTATGATGGGTTATGGCACTGTAAATTGAAAAGCATTATGGTATTAAGTAGATGGTGTTCGTGTGCATTAATTTTCAACCCTGCTTACACGCTAATGTTTTAGCCAATCCAATATAAATTTATTCTGAGAGGTCCTGTGAACAGGTATTAGTATTTTATTTTGTTCCATGTCCACAATGTAGGCCCTAAACATCTTAATGAACATTTGATAATTAGATGCAAGACTAATATAGTAAGCATGATTATTTTTCCCTGGCCAGCAGTTCACACGTGCTACCAGTTGGCAAAATTGTTGAATGTTAAGTTGCAGTTGTTACTTGCTTTTACAGAAATCTCAAAATATATTTTATTGCTTCTGTTTATATCTCTCATAAAAGAATATGCTATTCCTCTTTTGGAAAGTGAATTAAATAATGTGATATGTATACAGTCAGTCACATGACAATCTGGAGCATGTTAGGATATCCTTAGGGCTTTGGTCTGATTTTAATGTCCAATCATAAAAGGAACAAAAGAGAAATGGTGATTATTTTTATTTTTCTCTTCCAGACTTCATGATAACTTGATATTCTTTTTGTTATACAAGACCAGCGTCTTAACAAAATGTTACATGTGTCAGGCTCTTGTAAATGAACCTTCAGGTTCCACAAAAAAAAGGGCAACTACTAGTTTCTCAAGAAGGACTCTGCTCCATGGAGTTAGTTTTAGTACTGAATTTTTAATTCAGTGATTTTATCTACATATATGATATCTTGCCAAAATCTTAAATTCATTATAGTGTTGAATAATTCTTATGGCACACCAAAGCACAAGGCACAAATACACACACACACAAATTTCTGCATCGGAATATGTGGGATATATGAAAGTAAAAAATTTTGACAAAAACTGTGCATTCTGTTTGTTCATATGGAGTCTGTCTGTGCCTCAGTATTTTTTTAAAAATATTTTAAGATAGTTTAGCTCAAATTCTTTCTGACCTTTTATTTGCTGAAACAATATTTATGAAGTCATTTAACAAAATTATAAAACATTTCATAATGTTTGTTATAAATGTCTAATACTGTGAATGACTGTACTTGGCTAGGATTTATAATAAATGCAAATACTGGGATTAAAAGCTGACAGTGGAAGAACAGTAATAACGTGGATCCTAGAAATACAGATTTTTTATCATACGTTTTGGATGAATAGCTAAGGTAGTCTGGTGTCTTAGCTATTAAATATTTTAAGTTTTAATATTACAGAATTTGACTCAAGGTAATACATATTAACCTTCTGAAGCTGAAGTTTACATTTATGTGGCCTCATAATGTTCATGATACATGTCAGAACAGCACAAAGGCAGCCATTGAATGTGACTGTCAAACCTAACCTCAAATTGAATCATATGATAACAGAATTCTAAGCCATGGCTTTTGGGGACTGTCAAGAGAACAGCCACCGTTAGAATTAATTAAATTATACAGGAAGCTTACATCATTATATAAAACATCAGCGAGTGAATCCCAATCAAGATATGAAGATGGCTGTCCTATGAGATCGTGTACCAAGTAGTCTGGTAGATATTAACCAGTGTTTCAGAGGAAAATTTCTGCCCTCATGATGGGTATTTTAAGGTTTTTATATTACTATTTTATATTTTACTGTCCGTGAGTTGTGTATTAGTACATCATTCTTCCCTGGGGCTTGTCTGGAATCTAAGTAAGGAATTTTTACTTTTTCTGGAGGTAAAGTTATTGATGCACTAAACTGATTACTCACTTCCATCTGTTGTAGAGGTCTAGATTATATAAAACTTCATGTCATTGCCCTTGTAAGTAAACCGTTCCTTATTCCTAATTATTTTTCACTTCAAATTTGTTTCATATTATGTTATATGCTTTTTCTTAAGTGCGTTAAAGAACTTGAAGATTATCTATGGCATTCAAAGTCAAAGGAGAAATGTAGGCAGGTAAAGTTAAGTAGGTTTTGTATGAGGCAGTCACAGCTCAGTGTGCTGCTATTATCCATGCCTCTCACTTTGCATTGTGCCATACAAACATGGTCAAATATGCCCCCACACAATCCAGATGCTTTGCATCATAGCCTAAAATTCTCCATCTGTTTGTTCATAAGAAATGTTTTGAAGCGATAAGATGGAAGTAACTGGAAACAGGGTCATAGCAGAAACAATTAGTTTAAATGGATGGTAAATGGAGTTTCATTGGCTCGACAGGAAATGTTTGCTAGTGACTGTATTAAAAATCCTCTTGAGTATGAACTGCCTTTAAGTGACCATGTGTGTAATCATCATTATCCCTACTTTGTATTTAATAAATGTGCAGTTACTTTCATGACCGTTCATTTTATGTGGTTTGACTGACTGTAAGCCGAATCCTGTCGAGTATGGGAAGATGCCCTACTGCACTGTGCATATGACAAAACTTTTGATATATCTGCTCAATACTGTGAAAGAGTGCTAGTGACTGTTAACTATTGCAGAGTTTATTAGTATGAATGTACGTGTAGAACTTGATTAGTGCTCTGTCTCATTTATAGGTTAGGTTTAGTGATAGAACTTGTCTGTCCACTGCACATCAGGACTGGTCACCTCACTGTAGGCCACTTTGTCATCACAACTTGCTGTTGCTAATTACAACTAGCTTCTGATTCGCTCACTTAGTCCTTGTGATGCGCACTTCTAGAAGACCCTGCATCTCAGCTCAAAAAAAAATAAAAATTAAACAACAGAGAGGACACTGTTGGATCTCCCTGGTGGTAGATCATTGTTACATTTTGTCACTGGGCATCTTGAAGTTTGTATGAACATGTGATTATTACAGTCTGATTTAGGGAGAATGTGTAATATTCATATGGATTTAACATAACCTCACAATATATTTACCATGTTCTTCCCACAAACAGGTGACAGAGTAACTTAGAAAGAAGTAAGTACAGATTAAAGATATAATGAAATGTATGTTAATTTTTTGTCAGATTGTTTATTATTCATATAATGATGATGCTCGTGTGCACATTGTAATAAATGCACTGATGTTTGACTCTCTCTTCTTTTGTTCCAGTCAGTGTCCATTCCTCATCCTGGTGACCCTCACATTACTTCAGAATGAGATAATTAATTCTTTATCAAGCGATTTAAATTCAGATGACTACACTGAAATCTGTACTGTTTATACAATAACAATACTCTTTAATATACCAAGTTTGGCAGTAACATTTTGAAAGTACTGTCAGTAAATTAAAAACCACATGACTCTGTGTGTTTTGGTAAGATGAGTATTTGACATTAATCCTGCATTGATTGCATCCTGTTTGATTTGCTTTTCCCAGTGGACGGAACATAATCTTTAAAAGTAGCCATGTTTATTTTCTTAACTTAATTTTCTAGATATTGAATAAATATTTTACAACAACGAAGTAAATAACTGTAGTTCAGCATCATCCAATATATCAATAAATATTACATTGTTAGAAAGGTCTAACATGAAGTAATCTAACAATCATTTAATTATTTACAGTTGTAGGCCTACATATGATGTAACTATGGCTGGACACCCTGGGTGTGAGGCCAGTTTGCTAACAAAGGGCATGAATCAGCAAGCGATATTTTCAAATATATTTTTTTTTCCATAGTTTTAAATAAAATGTAACATTACATTGCAGTACATTATTATAATACATATTTTTACGTAAATATCATCATCTCCTATAAAGAATTGGGAGTTGGACAGTTGCTCAAGGCAACTTGTCTTATTAGTCCTTTTTAGTTCCTTAGAGCAGCAGGTGACAACCCTGCTTTGCCCAAGGAGAAAATATCTTTGGTACTGATTGCATTGAAGGCTGAGTGGACATGGTAACTAAATGAAAAACTTATTGTGCCTCTCAGGAATCAAATTATGACAGTCCAGCCAATAGCCTAGTAATCATACTGCCTGACCTACATAATAATCAGTATTAAGTTCAGAGACTTTGGCAATAATGGCAAAGGGGCATCTGATTTAAAACACTGCTTGACCTCCGTGAGATTATTTGAATATTGACAACATGCTTTCTGAAAGCAGTGTGACGATTTAGATTGTCATTTGTTTGTTCATCTTTGATTTCAGTACGAGTGAAATCTATTTCCTATTAATGTCATAGACATCATGGATCTCTGCTGAATACTGTGAAACTACAGTGCAAGTCTTCAGGGCGTTAATATTTGTAATTTTCTGTGTTTATTACCGTAACAATTGCGGCTTTATGTAGAATGTAAACTATATAATACAAACGTACTTCGAATTTTAAAATGAAGTAAGTTTAGAAGTTCTATTTGACGTGTGATGTGACTTTGCAACCATGATGCAGAAATAACCGACGTAACCTTGGAAGAGGTCTCTGTCTACACCCGGAAACACCTTGAACAGGTAAGACATATATTCCTTGACGTTTATTCTTAGTTAATTGATAAGAACTTTAGATAAGATAGTCCAGAAGTTTGTAAAACATTGAAACATTCTGATGACCAAACGAAAATGTGCAACTTATCCCTGGTGTAATGAATGCGCATGACGAGAGGGGGAGGGCATAAATTACGCTGACTGACGTCGGCATATCTGTTCTGCACAGACCGGAGTCAAAGGTACAAAGCATTATTCTCACACCATGTGGCTCAAGGCGTCGTTGAATCTCCCTATTCTAATCATCATTCAAAGTAATTCTGCTGCCCGACGTCATTAAACGTAAGAATACACCAAAGACCTGTCAGAATAGATAATGTCTGAGTCATGATTCGAAAGCTTTACATATTGAGAATGGATGTTAACCACTACATCACAGAGTTCGGTTCGATAATGAAGCAGGCTGGAAAGAGAGAGAAAGTTTTTACATCTGTCTGTCAATGCACTTGATTCTCAGCTAGTCCACTAACCCGAACACAGAACACGAGGACCATTATGTTGAGATGGTGAAGACAGACTGTTGGTCCCCTGTTCTTCCCACATGTTTCTCTGGCTTCGCTCCATTGAGTTCCAGAACGATGTTCCCCAGAGACTTGCCCTTGGTCTCTGGAACGAGGAAGAACACGAAGAATATGCCCACAGTTGACACACCAGCGAAGAACCAGAAAGTAAAGTAAGCGCCAAGCCCGTCCACAGCCACCTGGTACAGCTTTGTGACGAGCACAAAACAGAACGACAGCAGCATGGCTCCGATGGATAGGGCAACGCCCTTCACGTTCGAGGGGAACATCTCGCCCATCATGGCTATGGGCAACGGCCCGATACCCAAAGAATAAGTGACAAGAAACACCACAAGGCAGAGAAGGGGGAGCCAGTCGTAGGCCGCAGTGTCCATATCTGTCTTCAAGTGTATGTACTGGTATGCTCCCATGACGACAAGTGACGCAGCGCAACCGAACGTTGACGTCAGCAGAAGAGGTCGCCGTCCTAGGCGGTCCACGAGGGACGAAGTGCTGATGCTGGCCAGTGTCTGGATACCGCCGACCACGATGGCACACTCGCTGGACGACAGAGAGCTGCCCGGGGTGATTTCAAACACGTCTTGCGCATTGGACAGGATCGCCATGATGCCTCCGAACTGCTGGATCAGTATCAGGCCAATCATGATGACCAGGGCGCGACGCGTTCCTCTCGTCGCGATCAGGTCACGTGGTCTGCTCTCCTCCTTCATCTGCTCCGCCAGGACGTTCTGGATGCGCGCTAGCTCCTCCTGAAGAAGGTCTGTGTTCAGTTCGAATCACGCTTACGACGACAAGGATGTTTATACGCGGTTCCTCTATTCCAGTGGTATTCAACCTTTTTTGTTCGCGTACCCCCCAGATATAATTTCTCTTCAACTTTGTACCCCCAAAGTTGTTGGTGTATAATTCAAGTTATACATAGTATATAATCTACTTCTAAAATAAATTAAATAAATTACATTACTGATTATTCAGTGTTTATCATAAAATAATATTTTTATTCAAAATTTCACGTACCCCCTAAGATGTCTTCGTGTACCCCCAGACATAATTTCTCTTCAACTTTGTACCCCCAAAGTTGTTGGTGTATAATTCAAGTTATACGTAGTATATAATCTACATCTAAAATAAATTAAATAAATTACATTACTGATTATTCAGTGTTTATCATAAAATAATATTTTT